CAGTTCGAAAGCATGCCAGTTCAAGTAGATAAATAGGTACCGCTGCGGCAGGAAGGTACATGGCATTTCCGTGCGCTCTGGTTTCCGTCACGGTGTTCCATTGCACCAGAAGTGGTTTAGTCATGCTGGCCACCTGACCCGGAAAGCTGTCTGTGGACAAACACTGGCTCCCTTGGCCTGAAAGTGAGATGAGCGCCACAAACCCATAGTTCCTTGACTGGAGTCCTTTACCTTTTTACCTATATAGTGAAGCACACAGATCCGCAACGGTTGTACAGCCTGAACCTATTTCTTACATGGAAAAGCATTCCACCTCATAATTATTCAGTGTTTGAAGTAGCCCTGACTCTGAGGTCAGATACAAATATCAAAGATGATTTTGAGTTAACAGTGTAATTTGAAAATTTGTGTGTCGACAATAATTCATTCCTTTAGGAAACCTGCAGTTACTGTACTTATAGGGAAGTGACTTTTCATACAGTAATTGTTGGCCTGAATCCTTTGACATGGGGAATTTTGCATATATCTGATGTAATGAAAACCATGTGTTAATGAAAACCACGCAGTATTAGAATGCCCCGGCCCCCTGCTGATCCCAAAGATTCAGGTCATTCAAATGTGAATGAAGAATTTTAATACATAGCGATTTCATCTTAGAAATCAACCATGGTCAACTTAACAACAAACAGAAAATGCAGATCTGCCGAAACCTCCCAACCACAATACTTGAGAATAACAAGGCATGAAATTTTCATTGTATCCTTTGTTTTGTTTTGTTTATTTTTCTTAATAGCCGGATGAACTGAATTCCTTTTCATTGTAAGCGAGGCTTGATCTGCCATATCTGATTTGGCTCTTGCAGCCCTTACACCTTTTATTTTCACTGCCATTCGTCCATTTTAAGACAGCGCTTTGCCAAGATAAGCAATGTTGAAAGTGCATGATGATATTGATGTGCTCTTTGGAAATGATCCAGTGTAGGATATTTTTTTCCCAGGGCCATGCATCTTGATTATGACCATTTGCTCTTAGGAAGGTTCATATCAGGGCTCACCAAGCAACTTTTCACCATTGTTCAAAGCTTTTTCAAAACCACTAAAATCACTCTAAGTAGAGATCCTCCTATAGAATTTATTTTAGCGTAAGTCCTTTAGCCTCAGCGCCTAGGGCTTGCCGATCGAAAGGTCGGCGGTTCGAATCCCCGCGGCGGGGTGCGCTCCAGCTGCTCGGTCCCAGCGCCTGCCAACCTAGCAGTTCGAAAGCACCCTCGGGTGCAAATAGATAAATAGGGACCGCTTACCAGCGGGAAGGTAAACGGCGTTCCGTGTGCTGTGCTGGCTCGCCAGATGCAGCTTTGTCACGCTGGCCACGTGACCCGGAATTGTCTGCGGACAGCGCTGGCCCCCGGCCTCTTGAGTGAGATGGGCGCACAACCCCAGAGTCTGTCAAGACTGGCCCGTATGAGCAGGGGTACCTTTACCTTTACCTTTTGAGTCCTTTAGGGAGAGCAGAATACTAATCACTTTGGGCTAGATAGCTTTATGCAGGTTGCCTCTGAGCTCCCACCTCTTCCTATATTGACAGCACCTCTTAAGCTTGCTGTAAATATTGCTGAGATAATGTATGAAAGGCACTTAGAACAGTTTCTGGGCATAGTGGGCAAGTTTATGAAATATTTTCCAAATGTCAAAATTCTAGGGCTATGATGATTTACTTAGAGTAGACCTGCTGAAGTTAATAAGTCTAGCTAAGTTAGGGCCATTGATTTCAGTGGTCTACTCTTAGTGAAAATTAGCTGAATACCACCCTAGAGTTTGGGCAGAACATCTTGGAGTGAAACCTATTCACAATTTTCACCAGTAATTAGTTTTATTGCTGACTCTTTTCCTAGAAGAGGCAAGGGAGGAGGAGACATATCTCACAGTTGTACATAGTATGAAGGCTATAAGTGAAGCATTTCATGCTTGTTCCATTAGTCTTACTTTCCAGCAAACAGTTTGCCTGGAAAACCACATTGTTCTGGAGGTCAGCCTGGACGTAAACAAGCAGAATACAATGTTGTACCCCCTGAAGAGGATCTCCGGGGACAAGATTTTGGGGGCTGGCTTTGGAGAGACAGCACAGAATCCTCTATTCTGAGAATTCCACTTGTGTGATATTAGCTAACTAGAGGAGTCTTAAGCCAAGTTAGATACTTTATAGATTGCTAAGCCATAGTAAACAATGTACATGCAAATGTAGAACAAAATGTCCCCTTAAAAACAACAGACTGTTACAAACATTTCTTTCTATGACCTGACATTGATGCTGACTCTTATGCTGCCTCGTACACATGTGTTACCTTTTACACATTACATTTAGTGAATTTTCAATCAGATCTCCATACAGTTCATGAGTAGAATGAGGATCTAATAGTAGGAACTCAGAAAAGTTTGTGCAATTCATTGTCACAAGTTGTAGTGTTGAGTTTAAACACTTCTCATGTGGTTCCAGAAGGACTCCAAGTATTCAGTGGATGTGCATACAGGAGAAAGTAACATCCCCCATATGTCTCTGCCCTAGTATGCATATGTGAATGCACATCTACAAATTGCCTATACATGTACACTCAAATGCATGTATGCATCTCTCCCTGTTCCTTATGAGGCTCTGTACCCTAACTTACCCCTAACTTTGAGCCATTGGTCAACCCAGTCACAAAACACCCATAAGCTCTCCCTTTTCCATTTGGACCCCTACATAGAATCAAAGAGAATACAATATGGCTAGCACAGCTGTATCTCCTATCCTTTTAAGGCAGGTATGAGGAACTGGATCCAACTGGGGGTAGATTCAGGAGTTACCCGACTTCAGCAGGTCACTTTGACAGGTGGGTGAGGGCAGACACCTGTCAATGATGCCAGGAGATACCACTTCAAAGAAGGAATCGGGAGCACACTTAGGGTCCACTCCCAATTCTTCCTTCCTTTTTTGCAGCCCTGGCTTTAATGCAAGCTGAGCCTGCGAAGGAAGGAAGGAAGGAAGGAAGGATCAGGAACACACCTTTCCAGCTGTAATTTGGTTCTTTTTGAATGTAATGCCTTTTTCTGCGTTGGAGATTCAAGGGATGCAAAACTGCTATATATGCAGCGGTCTTTTTCAGCTCAGGGAAAGAGTCATACAGGGACACACCAGCTAGTTCCAAGCTGCTACTATATTCAGTGCTATTTTTCTGGGGAAAATAAGTGCCGGAACTCACCATAAATGCCTCCTTTGTTCTCTTTAATGGCAATGGTGCCCACCTGAGGGGTGCCAAAACTGAGTTCCTGCTGGAAAAAAGCTCTGACTGATATTGATGTTGGTGAGGCTCTAGCAAACTGTTTGCAGGTGGCTGTTTTGAAACTGACTGTGGGATTTATGTTCTGACAGTGTGGTCTTTTATCTGTGTACTATGATGCTTTTATTGCATTTTATTGGGGTAAATTAGATTTTTATTGTAATGCAAGTTTTTGTTTTGAATATGATTTATGATTGGAAGCCATTCCATGTATTGTGTTTTGTCCAGGAACAAGGTGCAACTTGTGTGTGTGTGTGTGTGTGTGTGTGTGTGTGTGTGCGTGTGCGCGCGCGCGCATACAGATATGTTTTCTTGCCACAGTGCACCAGGACAACATTGCTTCCAGGCACTCTGGGGGAAAGAAAATGCCAGCACACAAAACACTGAAGGGAGAGAACGCCTCTCTTGTTTCTGCCGCCACTGGAAGACTCCATCTTTGTTCTTTGCAACCACCTTTCCCACTCCACATTTTGTGCATCCTGCTGTCTATCTGGAGGGCACCAAAAAGATCGTTAAAATTATTATTCTGGTGTATATATAGGAATATGTGTCACCTATGTGTATACACACACACATGTGCACATTTATATACATTGACAGCAAATTAGTTGCAGGTGTCTAAAGACTGCTTGTTATATACAGCACTTTTACTAATCTGTTCTAAATTGCATTTTAGAATACTTGCCTTAGAGATGTCCAGCTGGTATTCAAGATCATATCACTGGGAATTCTTCCTCTAGTTCTTTGCTTAGACATCCACATTTATTTCTCATCTATTGTTCTCTTAGTAATATATTCAGCAGTAGCCCTTGAGGCAGTTTGCACAATACAGACATAGCCACACTGCACCCACATGGAGGACTCTACACAAGGTGATGATGCCATTGATTCAAGCAGGGGGCAAGCCAGTCTAGGCATCCTCACAGCTTATAGCTGGTGGTGTCAAAAGTCCCTTGTTCTCGAGCGCCAGTGTGGTGTAGTGGTTAAGAGCGGTAGACTCGTAATCTGGTGAACCGGGTTTGCGTCTCCGTTTCTCCACATGCAGCTGCTGGGTGACCTTGGGCTAGTCACACTTCTTTGAAGTCTCTCAGCCCCACTCACCTCACAGAGTGTTTGTTGTGGGGGAGGAAGGGAAAGGAGAATGTTAGCCGCTTTGAGACTCCTTAGGGTAGTGATAAAGCAGGATATCAAATCCAAACTCCTCCTCCTCCTCCTCTTCTTCTTCTTCTTCTTCTTCTTCTTCTTCTTCTTCTTCTCCTCCTCCTCCTCCTCCTCCTCCTCCTCCTCCTCACTGATTGTAATATATTTCCACAGAGCGAAATGTTTGAAATTATCTTGTAAAAGTTGCTTCTAAAGTCAATTTAGTCAACTCCTTATGACAGATATATGGTACAGCCTTTAATTTATTTTGGCACATTTTTACACCACTCTTCTGCCAAATATGACATATGGGAAGGAGCTGTGAGGTAAGAATGACAGTAGAGAATTATATAGCACAAGTCAGAAAGGTGTAGGCCTGGACTAAATGGGAATGATGATCCCTCGAAAGAACCTGGCCACAGATGCACTTGGAATAAATGCTGGCATATATATGGACCCTTAGAGATGCATATATATATTTTATTTCTACCACCTGTAATTGGACGATGTTTCTGTTAACCCCCCAGTTTTTCACCTCTCCTAGGGTAGAAGATGTTGCTGAAACAGAATCTCCTTCTCAGCTGGATGACTTAAAATCCACTATGAATGGGAATGAAGGCGATGAAAAGCTTCAGGTTAAAAAACAAGCTTTTGAAGAGAAAATAAACACTGACAGCAGTACTCCTGGCTCTGTACGCCGGTATAGTCTTGGCCAGGTTTCTAAAGAAGAAAGGAAGGACATGAGGTTTAACAGGTATGCTTCAGTGCAGTGTGTCAGCAGTTTTGCATGCCGATTGGTTTTCCCATACATAATTTTTCAGGGGGGGGGGAACCCAAATGTTAAAGTGAACAGGCAAGTTACATAATACCTGTGGGCATCAGACATTTAATTGTATCCAGACATCTTGTCAATAACTCTAAGAGCTGGATAAGATCTCCGAGTTATTTGCTTAACCTACCTTGTGCTCCAGAGTGCAGGGGGAGGTGCAAAGGAACACTGGATTTGAAAAAGTTCAGGCAAAAATGAAGATGGCTTTCCGTAAGTATAGTTGGCGAAATTCTTTTGGCAATTTGGGCACCTTAAAAGCAGGTTTATAAGCACTGTCAACGAGTGAAAAGTATGCAGATATACATAAATATATAGTCAAAGCAGATCCAGAGAAAACGAAAGGTACAAATGCAGCAAACAATTGGTTAGAGTTAATCTGGCATAATGCAAAATTAATAAAGACAAAGCATTAAAAGAGATTGTATCACATATGTAAAGCGTTAGGGATAACAACAGCAAAAGAAACCCACCCCCAAACAAGAAAGTCCTATCTAGGACAGTATTTCTTTGTAAATAATGTTAATCTTCAGCTTTTTAAGATGTTGAATTAAACAATCGAACAAGCCAGGTCTTGCGCTAACTGTTACCTAGACTGAGCACTGATCAAGGGCTCTAGGAGCTCAGAAGGGCCCTTCACCAGCCCAACTAAGCTGTGCCACCCTGCCACCTCCTCGCTGGGCCCCTCGGTCATTTTCATGGTGGGATAGCTGTTTCTGAACGAGAGTCAAGCTTGGCTCACATCTGCAGTGGCTCCCCACCATTTTCATTGACCAAAAATGCAATGCCCCAGCCCATCAGAGCTATGAAATCTATGGGTTTCATAGATCTTTGTACTAGAGCGTTGCATTTCCTGGTAAATTAAAATGGGAGGCAGCAACCATGGGTGGGAGCTGAGCTTAGCTCCTGTTCAAAAGCGGCACTTCTGCCTCTTTGGTTAAAATGCCACCCAGGAGCCCAAGGATGTTGCAGTTGCTACAGTGGCAAGGTTTCTTAAAACAATTTCGGATAAATAACCCTGTTAAGAATTTTTAAGTAGAGATGCCAGCTGTCCCAGTTCTGAAATCCCAAGGCCATTATGATCTGAGCCATGTGCCCCTCTAATTTCAGCTGTTTGGGGTGACTTGGTAGCAGATCTCTGTCAATGCCAACCTTTCCTACTGCTAACTTTTCTTCCACTACCACCCTTTTCCATACAGTCCCAGACCAACCAAAACCCTTTTAGGGCAATTGTAATCATATAGATGGGATGCGGGTCGCGCTGTGGGTTAAACCACAGAGCCTAAAACTTGCTGATCAGAAGGTTGGCGGTTCGAATCCCCGCGACGGGGTGAGCTCCCATTTCTTGGTCCACACTCCTGCCAACCTAGCAGTTCGAAAGCACGCCAACGTGCAAGCAGATAAATAGGTAGCACTCCAGCGGGAAGGTAAATGGCATTTTCGTGCGCTGCTCTGGTTTGCCAGAAGCGGCTTAGTCATGCTGGCCACATGACCCTGAAGCTGTACGCCGGCTCCCTCGGCCAATAAAGCAAGATGAGCACCACAACCCCAGAGTCGGTCACGACTGGACCTAACGGTCAGGGGTCCCTTTACCTTTACCTTTAATGATATAGAGGGGTGGAGCAGGTCGGTGCCCTCTGGCTACACTTCTGCCATCACATCCCCTACCATCCACACATTAAGGAAACAATGGTAAAGGTGAGCCTGGTGTGTATGTATGTAGCTCTCGATGTGAGATGGAACACTGCACAATCAAGGCTCCTGATCACATGGCGAATGTACAGCAAGACATCCCCCCGATGCACAAATGCTGGGAATCAGAGTCAGCATGGCACATGACGGCCAGGCCAGCACTAGTGGCACAGGCCCATTCTCTCCTCCACCTCATTACAGTAACATAGGGGTGAATACCCAAAAGGACTCAAGTTGCAAGTGGGTGGGGGCAGAAGTGGCAGATATAAGACTGGCAAAAGCCATCCACTCATTTGATAATAGAAGACTTCACCGAGTAGCTTTTGTCCTTGTTGAAACTTGGATAGTTTTCTGTGTTAATCTCAAAGGCAGAAGTTTACGCTGAAATTCCGATAAAGCAGTGCACTTACATCCCAGACCGATTCTTACGAATTTGCTTGGCACACAAGGTTGCAGCTGACAACATCAGTTGAAACTTTTTTAAAAGTTTAAGTTTTCAATAGAGGTCACATCTGTTTTCAGCGGGACAAGATGAATCATCTATGAGGTTCGCTCATTTCTCAAGGACAAAACTGTATATTTCCTTAATTATTGGAAAGAAGTTTAACAAACAAAAATACTTGCAGTAGATATGGCCATTTCGAATGGTTATTTCTCCTGTGCAGTGTGATTAATTTTTCATTTGTTTATGTTGTATATACTCTGAGTCACTGTACTGATATTTGGATTTGAATACGTATTATTACATGAGGTGTTGGCCACATTGAGATGATCAGCAAAGATCAGCAGTGAGCCTCCAGCTTTTATGTTCCCTCCTTACCTCTTTCCTTCCTTCACAATCAAACTTTTTGTTAGCAGCAAATAATAGCTTGCCATTTAACCTGACAACTATAATAGGTTTGCACAAACCAGAATCCCAGACCATCATCCCAGACCGGTTTGAGGAAATCAGCTTCGGTTTATGCAAAGCAACTATAGTAAAGGACCCCTGACCATTAGGTCCAGTCGTGGCTGACTCTGGGGTTGCGGCGCTCATCTCGCTTTATTGGTCGAGGGAGCCAGCGTACAGGTCATGTGGCCAGCATGACTAAGCCGCTTCTGGCGAACCAGAGCAGTGCACGGAAACGCCGTTTCCCTTCCTGCTGGAGCGGTACCTATTTATCTACTTGCACTTTGACGTGCTTTTGAACTGCTAGGTTGGCAGGAGCAGGACCGAGCAATGGGAGCTCACCCCATTGCGGGGATTCGAACCGCCGACCTGATTGGCAAGTCCTAGGCTCTGTGGTTTAACCCACAGCGCCACCCACGTCCCTATAAAGCAACTATAGTTTGGTGCTAATTATGGTTTGGTGCTAATTATGGTTTGGTGCTAATTAAGGTTCTTATACCCCCCCATGCACCACAGTCCTTTTTGCCTTTTGCCCAAGCCATTTGTTCCTGCCTTTGTTTACACTGCAGGTCCAAAAGTCTAGCTTTGCATGCTGTCCGTTTGAGGAGTGTTCATTCTGACAATGGACAAGAGATGGAGAATGGAGATGTTACAGCCGGCATCTCTTTCACAGATATCTATCTGAGCCAAGAAGCCGACAAATTGCCTTCCAGTGCAGACACTGAAGAGTCGCAGCTGGAACAGTCTTCACTTTCGCACCCAAGTATCAAATGTACAGAACCAGAGAATCTGCCAGAACCCGTTAAAGAAAACTGCCATGAAGGGAGCCCGAAGACAATACAGAATCCTGCCGAGTATCAAGATAAGATTTACTTTCACTTAAAGGAAAATCTCTCTAAAGTGAAAGCATATGTCGTGGAGATGGGGAAGAAAATTCCTCTCCCAGATGAGTGTGTTATTGAAGGTAAGAGGCCTGACCCTTTGAAACGATGGGAGCATTTTAGAAAATACTTTAGGACCTTCTTTTAAGCTGTCAACCAGCCACCTCTAAGCATGAGTTCTTTTCACTAGCTGAAACGTGTTTCTGCATAACGGCGTTGTTTTAAAAGGCACTGTCTTGAGATTCCTTCTTGCCTCTGCATTGTTTCTGTGCTTCATTGTGCTTTATCCCATAAAGGACCTGCTAGCATGCTGCCCTTGCATGCTTGCTGTGTGCTTCCACTATCAAGCCCTATATGTGCTCAGAGTTCCTAGGACTCTTGTTCATGGGTTGTATCTAACTAGCTTATGCTCAGAGTAGTAGACTCACTGTAATGAATTAGTTGGTCATGAACGCAATGAACTAAGGTCCAAGTATTACTGCTAGTGTATAAAGCCTTAAAAGGTTTAGGACCAGGTTACCTGAAAGACCATCTTGTCTCTTTTACACTGGCCAGATCACCACAATCACCTGGAGAGATCACCTTCTGAGGCCTCCTTGAGAGGTCCGGAGGGTGGCAACATGAGAACGGGCCTTCTTTGCAGTGGCTCCCCGTCTGTGGGATGCTCTCCCCAGGGAAGTTCGCCTGGCGCCTTCATTACACATCTTTAGGCACCAGGCAAAAACGTTCCTTTTTAACCAGGCTTTTGGCTGACCTAATCAACATCCTATACCCTTTAAAATGTGGCTCTTTTGAGGGGGGCATTATTGGATTATTGCTTTTATTTTGATTTTATATATCGTGATCTTTTTTTGTGAACTGCCATGAGACCTCCGGGTATAGGGCAGTATATAAATTCAATGAACGAATGAACGAACAAATGAATAAATGAATGAGAAGCCCTCCTAATTTCTCCACGGTTGTCTCCTATTGGGTTCATTTCAATGTGAACCAAAGCTTTTAGCATGGTGACTCCAGTAATTAAACTGTGCCATTATTGTAGAATTTGCTTTTACTGTTGTAATTTCCTGAGAATTCCTTAAGTACGATTATTGAGGCAAAATTCCCAGAGTAGGACACGTTGTAAGATTGATGTGACTGATACTCCATACATGCACAGCCATGCCTTCATGTCCATTGCACGTGGAACACTTAGCTAATATTTCCAAAACTCCATAAACTACTTGTTCTGAAATTTGGCTGCAATCTGAACTTCTTTAATTTCTGCAGTTGGTACACCAAGAGCTAGGCTCTTCTTCATCCCACCCATTTCTTAAGAAACTGTTCACAAGTTCCTGCTACAAATAATACGCAGCTGTTTGGTGTTGCATTAGCCAAACTGGAATTTGCTGCAATTTTATTAATATTAAATGTAAGGAGTATGGTGAATACGCAATCTGTGTCAAACCACACATGACTAACAGTTTGTTACAACATGACTGTACTGCAATATACAAGGTATAAGTACAAAGAGTTCTCAGAACTGCCACTTCAGTTGTGTCAGTTGTGTTCTATATACCTTTAAAATGAAACATTATTTCTTTGATTAGTGTTCTCGGGAAGCATCTATCATTTTGAAAAGCAAAATAATCCCACTCAAAAATACATATTCAGGGTGCTCTCTAGGTAGGCACAAGTATATTTGTTTACACACATGCACATAAAAACAGGAAGTGACACCATGTTGAGTGGGAGGGGCAAGGGAGCAGGAGGCATAGATCTAAGAAATGTGTTAAATGGATGCACATATCTGAACTTCCAGTAACCTTGGAAATTTGGGGCTGTGCGTGAGACAGTGAGAGCCATGATGGCTTAAGGATTTTCATGACAATCCCAGTATTTTCAGGGCATTTGGAGGGTTGGGTATACTTTGGGTAAACACACTTGGGATTCGGGTGAGTGTTGCTTACTGGTGCAGCTTTGAGCAGTTAGTCAACAAATCAGTGAGAATTTGTATAGAAATGCCTTTAAGATTTAATGAAACCTACAGTTGAGAAACCAGTTTACTTCCTTGTTCTATATTTCTTTAGGGAAACTTCACTTAATCTATTTAAGGACCCCTTCAAAGACCTAGGAGATCCCAGAGTGCAGGAAACTTGTTCCACTGGTAGCTTTTCTCATACAATGATTTAGCAATGGTGTAATATAGGCCCTGCTATTGAGTCCTCTCTTGGCAAGAAAGGGAAAAGATTGTGATTCACATAAAGCTTCAGTTTGCCATAGTTAAACGCTTATCCACATTTTTGCCCCACTCAGCCTGGATAACTCAGTTGGTTGGAACATGGTTCTGATAATGCCAAGGTTGCAGGTTCGATCCCCGTATGGGACAGCTGCATATTCCTGCATTGCAGGGGGTTGGACTAGATGATCCTCAGGGTCCCTTACAACTCTAAAATTCTATGGTTCTTTCCAGGCACAGGTCCATGTCCAAGTGCCCTCTTTTTTGCTCCAGAGCTTCCCCCTCAAAAACCCGCTCTTTAAAGCTGAATTGGAGCAAACAGCTATTCAGGTTTTCTGTGGATTGTTGTTTGCTCCGATTCAGCTTTAAAGAGCAGGTTTTCGTGGGGCAAGCTTCAGAGAAAAACAGTGGGGCCGTCAGACAGAGAGCTTTAAAGTGCAGACTGTGCCTGAAAAGTGTGGCGGAAAGGTAAGTGTGGATAAGCCCTAGCTGTTATGGTTCTTATAACTATGTATCCCACTTTACAGAGGATAACACTCTATTTGAAGGGTTGCCTGCAGACAATCCACAATTTGAAGGACTCCTCTATTTGAAGAGTTGTCCCATCCAGTTCTTAAAGTACAGACCCAGAAGAAGGGATGGAAGCAGACGGCTTGAAGTTGCCCCTCAGCAGTTACCTCCTGAGCAGCAAGCACACAAGCCACACAGCCCCACTGTGGAGGGATGCACAGCCTTTCTAGTTAATTATACAGCAGTTAATTATTCCAAATTTGCATCAACACATATAAATTAGTGTGTGCAAGTTTTATGCACTCCTGCACCCTATTTTGCTCTCTTTTCAGTGGTACACTTCTTCTTTCGCAGGCCTTATGCGGCCACCCTAAGAGTAACTCTCCCGCCTCCTGTTCCCGGCAAGGACTTTGCTTGAGTTGGGTAGCAATTTGGAAGTGAATGGCTATTTAGTTAGTTTAGGAGTGTCCTTTGCTTGGCTAGAAATGTTATCTTTTGTTGTGAAAATCAAACCCCATGACAACCTGGCACAGGTTCATATTTATGTCTATGAGGCTGCAATCCTATACATGCTTAGCTAGGAGTAAGTCCCAGGGCACTCAGTAAGCAGAAGTAGTTCTAGAATTGGGCTGCATAACTTGGAGCTCAAGTTTAGTGCTTAGGTATTTCAGAGGGGGAAGAAACAAGATCCAAACCATAAAAAAAACTGATCTGTTAAATTTAATAAAGAACCTGCTTTACATCTTGCTTAATTCCATCCAAGATCACTTATTTAATATTTATATATGAAATAGCTTCTAGATCCAATGCACCGACAACCACAATATTTCATCTTTCTTCCTTACTTTCAAAAAATTACCATCTTTTCCACCTGTTTCTCTTTTAATTTAAAAACAAAACAAGGAGGGGTAGTTTTCATCAGCTTATATTTCTCCAGATGTCTTGCGATCTTCCTTCTTATCTGCGTTTCAGGAATTTTGCTTACTACAAAGCTAGGCTTACTGGTTTATAATTTCCTGGAGGACCAGTTCGTTTATTAAATCTAGTTGGACTTTGTTGGCTGGGATTTCCAGCCGGTTCTATTTCTGTATATATCTAGTAGAACAGGATATTTTTCTTTTTCCTGTTTGATCTTACAGAAATTGATTACTTTGACATATTTTGAGATCATTCTCAGGTTGCCTGCACACATGAGATCAATGCAGTCAATATTGTGACCTTACGATCAACAGCATGTAAGACAGGAAACAAGTGGGAAATGTATTGCTAAAATCACAGCTAATTTTAAGCAGTGGCCTTAGATGTCCACCTATTATCTGATTGACATTAGCCTGTTTTTATGGACTTTACACATAAAAGGTTCTGTCCTAAGAGCCTTCTATTGAGCTAGTATGATAGCAAAGATAGCTTCATTCAGACATTTGGTTCTGACCACATGAAGGATCCTGTGATAACATACAGGTCTAGCCTCATCCTCTTGACAACAACACAACTGCCAGCCAGGCCACTGGCTGACACATGAATTGTGTTAGCCTGAATGGGTGCTTCTGTGCATGTAGGGTTTCAAACATGTAAATAAGAGCCCTAGTCAAACAGGGTTCCTGACTGTGTCAGAAACCCTATTCTCATGCAAGACTATTATTGCATTGGCCGGCATATTTGTGACTGTCATGAGAGCTAGCCCCACACATTCCAAAAAGATGTTTCATTTGTTTGGTACCCACAGATACTGATTGCCTGAATAGGGCTTTGGGGATTTTCCTTGGAGCTGGTTCCCACTTCCAGCTGACACTTGAACATAAGAATGAAAACTTTTAGAAAGCCCTACAACTGAAGTGACCAGCTGAAATGAAATTCCCATCAGTGTCCATGATAGCTCGCATTCCGTCGCATAAATCATCATATTATATTTCAATGCTGCATAGTTTTCATAAGTAGTTTTGATGAGTTATTGTGCATTTTATGTTAGATTGGGGGAAAGCAAATTGGTACGACAGTTGTAAAGTTTTGTCTTAAGCTCTGCATTGGCTTTCCCCCCTTGCTTTTATTATTTTCTGTAGGATATAAACTTAAACAGCAAATATTTGATGGAGTGTATGACAGAATTCCCCTTGATAACTAGGGCAAGACTGCCCTTGGTCTGAATTTGGTTGGTGTTATGTTTTATGCTGTGCTGTGAGATAATTAGTACCATATGATGGGATAGATGGGAAAGATCACTGCTCCCCTGCAGTGCTTGCTTCTGGAACCTTTTGATAAATTTAAGCATGGCATGAGCCAAAGCATGATTGAGAACACATGGGCTTCTGCTAGCTCAATGCAACCACAAACTTGCAGAGACGCAGAGCAGCATTT